TTTTGTTCCGCTTTGCCTGTGAAAGTGGAACAAACTTTGAAATTTTTGTTTCACAGCTCTGTGAAATTGGGGATTAACCCCTCGGATAATGGCCCTGATGTCCAGTTGAGTGGTTTAAAATTACTGGCTGTCTGAGAAACACACTGACACATACATGACTTACACCCTCAGAGTGCTCGCTGTCTCCTTCTTCCTCCCACCCTTCCTATTTCTGCCACCTCCTCGTATGTCATGACCGTCCTTCCCACCATCATGAACAGAAACGAAACGGAAAAGAAAGAAAGATGGCTTTGTTTCCCCCGTCCCATCCAAGAATATCAGAACCACCTCAACAAAAATAAGGAAGAGCATACATAGACATATATGCCTGGGTGTTCGTGTTAAAGTGTGTGTGTGTGTGTGTGTGTTTACTTGGCCGGAGGAACACAGTCACTCCAGATCTGAGGGTTTGCTTGTGACAGGAACTGTAAGCGGTGGTGGTACTCTTTAACACTCTATCCTCAGAGACTTAGGCTGCTGTGGCCTCCATTCTTTGCACATTTCTTCCCTCCAATCCCATTACAGGCCTAACCCTAACCTTAATCTTACTACTACAACTTCTTACACCTTCTATTTTGGTGTGGACAAAAGCTGGGCTGCAGTTAGGCTAACTGTGAACTCGGTAGCTGCGATGTAAGATAGGGTAGATAATATCATGATGTTGTGCTCCTGGTGTTGAAACATTGATGGATAGTGGTTATCAACCCTTATTAAAGCAATTGCTTCCAATCATGTATAATCATCTGAACAACACTGTTAGATGATATAGTTTCACAGGGATTTTTTTCTGACAATTTCACTGTAATTGAATGCAGTCAGAGAGTTTCATTTAAAGCCATCAGCCTACTTTTGGAGAGTGAAAATCCTTTTTTTAAAGTCAACATCAAAATTGACCCTATTAAGTTTCTGGTCATGTTGTGAATGACAAATCTGTGCACATTATTTCACCAGTCACATCAAGACCACTTTTCACAATCCAATCAATTTCAGAAGTATAAAATCAAGACTGTTTCGACATTAAATGTCCTGTTTCACTTGTAAAACAAAAGCATGCATTAATTTAAACTCTTTAATTTGTTGGTTATTGCAATGGGCTTTGATGGCCAAATATTTAACATCTCAAAATATTGCTCGTGCATATAGCCTTTCCCAAAATATGAAATGTAAAAAATGGTCTTGCACCTGCACCTGCACTTGCGCTCCGTATGGCTCACCAAGTTTATGTGAACCTGCTGTCTATTATGCATCTCTCTTTTTACACTCTTTCTTTTTGTCTAACAAGCTTCGGATGCTTCTTGTTCCAGTGAAGCAGAAAATCTGATTAGTCCGACTGCACTCATTCAGTGTTTAGCTGTGTCACACGTCTGTCAGTTGTGTTGTTTATGTTTATTGTTGTTTTGCACTTGATTTCCCAGATTGCCATGCAACTCAGTTGGCCAACGAAGAGATATTAATATTCATTGTTGGTTGCGCAGTTGAAGTAGTTTTGAGTTGTCACATGAAAAGAACTGACTAATTTGGGGAGTCTGGGGTGCAAAGTGCCATTATTTACTGAGCGGTTACTACTCATTGTCAGAGAAAAATAAATTGGTCTTAGGGGTTAAAAGGGAATAGATGAAAAGATTATCTGATGTTAAAGGGATAGTTCATACAACAATTCTGTCACCTTTACACTCTCAGAAAAAAAGCCAAAAGCCACTAGGGTGGTACCCTTTCAAAAAGTACTAAATTGCACCATGTAAGTGCTAAGATGTTACCATTTAGGTGCTAATTTGTACCTTTAAGGTAGTAATATGCATCCTTTAGGGATAAATGAGGTACAAAGGTATACAATTTGAAAAGGTTCCACCCCAGTGACAGCTTTTGGACCTTTTTTGTTCCAAAAAAGTTTGAATTTTCTTTCTTATATGGAACACAAAAGGAAAGATTAATATAAAGGACAAAAAGCACCATAAAAGTATCATAAATTGGTTTATATGACTCATATTACAAGTCTTCTGAAGCCATACGATAGCTTTGTGTGAGAAAAAGTGAATCACGTTTTTAGGTGAACTATATCCCTTTAAATCGATAACATTGTTCAGTTGTTGTTCTTTAGAATGAGTTGAACGACTGCATTATAGGCAATCAAATCAAAAAAGCCTCAAGCAAAGCAGTTGGAGGCTAACTTAAAACTATTAAAAAGGGGGGGAAAAGTCAGTTGTCAATGTCAGTCTCTTCTTCTTTCAGTCTTCCAAGTAAGGTATATTTGTACAAGTGGACATGGGAGAGGCAGAGGATTGATTTGATCTTACAAGCCATCAGGTTGAGAGGAACTTTCCTAAACATGACCTGAAGTGTGCCGGCCCCGCAGCAAACGCTGCTGTCACTATAGTGAACGGGAGCTGTCATGATGCAGTCAGGCCGATGCGAGTTGACAGCCTGAACGCTCACAAAACAAATCATGGCCCCATTTGGTAACACTCCACGTCCCTGCGATTTAGCCCCAACCAGGATGGCTTCTGTGCTGCTCATAGAGGATGCTAGTGGGGAAGAGTAGCCTATTGGGAATATCTGTGTGTGTGTGTGTGTGTGTGTGTGTGTGTGTGTGCATCTCTGATGTAGGAAGTTGCATCTCAGTGAGTGTCAGTGAAATCATGGTTAGTAAGAGATACTAGTTCAGACATCTACTCATGAATCAGTCTATGGGTGAACCTAAAATGTAAAATGTAAGTTGCTCAATATGAACCTCTTGTGTATCGAATTGTTGTATAAAACCTATATGGTTGCTTGTTACACCAACTTCTCAGAAATTGCTCAAACTGTCATCACTAGTTTGAACATGACATTATTAAATTGGTAACGGTGACTTGGACACATTGCAGGCTACAGCCATTATGCACAATAATTGTAAAAATAATAATAGTTAAAATGTTTTTTTCCCAATTTATTACCAACCCTTTTAGACCCTTGGAGGCCCAGGAAACTGCAGACTATTTTTTGCAATCCTTTGGGGGGAAATCTGTCAAATTGTGTGAAATAGATTTGGTGAAATGGTTAAAACTGGTTAAAAATTGAGTTGAGACTACTTCACTGTTATGATAGCCGACAGCATAATCACATTATACGAAATATTTAATAAACAAAAAACACAATTCTGCGGAAACCCGCAGAGTTCTATGGGCACAGATTGCACATGGGCCTCAAAATCAGGAACTAGATGCTTAATTTTAAGGTTTCCAATTTTGTGTGCAAAAACAACTTTAAAATGGTTAAGTAGTGTGACTTTTGACAGTCCCTGACATTGCTGGTAATCTCTTTTGCATTTCGAAGAATCTTAAGATTGATATTAAATCAAGTGAAGAATTGCTTTTTCATGGAGCGCAGCATCAAAATCTAGAAATTCTCACTCATCACCGAAAACCTGCCTTCATAAAAGACGCCTACCAGCACAAAACCTGACAGAAGAAATTGACCATAGCTTTGAGTTGTTATTACTGAGGTCTTTTATCTCCGTAAAAATCATTTAAGCACTAAATGTCACTAAAATGCCATTCTGAAAGTGGTGACATGTATTGGCCAGCTCTGATGGCTTGAGGCTGGTTGTCTGCTGGGCTACAGCAATCACCTTTCCTCACTAAAAATGAATTATCTGTTTGGCAGCTCCATTTTCCACTTTATTATTCAACTAACTCACAAAATGGTAATTAAATGAAACAATTTAGTAGCAAAAAAGACAAAAGTGAGAAGAGGAGAGGCGGTGATTGTGTTAAAGTGCTTTACACACTCACTGGGTGATTTTATTTGGCAGCTAATAAAGCGAACAGAGAAAAACATCATGATTAAAGGGTTGAACAGTGAACACCTGAGCATCTCTGCTATAATCATTAAGATAGAGAGAGGGGGAGGAGAGCTAGATGAGGCATTGCATTGTTCTTGAATGTGCACAGAGGAAAGAGAGAGAAACTATAAACACGAGACACACTCAGCTGGGAAGGTGGGGGAAGCATGGGGTAAATCTCAGAAAAACTGTCAAAAATTGTCTGGATTGCATTTATATATGTGTGTATACATGGTATTGTATTTGTTGCTTTAAGATGATTTTAATCATTGTGTCCAGACAGGATGATTTACATGTACTGTATTAATCTGGGCCTCATTCTCAGTCATTGGCTGTGTTTGGATTGGCATAATAGCATTACTGTACTATTTCTGCAGTAGTATGTATGCTGTGCACAGTATTTATAGAATATCTGGACTGCCCAAATGTGCAACAAACAACATAACACACTGCGCACAATACTGTATCCCACAATGTAAGGCACTCAGTTTTATGTTACATTTCTAATGTGACAAATTAACTGGCAGTTGCTAGCTGTTGTTTGTTGGACCTGTCAACACAAGCTCAATCAAAATAGAGTTTGCTGTATAATGTTGATTACAGCAGAAAATAATTTTATACACGACCCAATTTAAACAACTTTACAGCTCAAATAATACCGTTTTTTTTAATTGAATGTAAGTGCCTTAACAAAAATATGACCTTCGTATTTTGTTTCTTAAACCCTCTAGAACCTGGCACTTCCAGTGCAAGTTACTGTATGCATTTTTGTCAAGTCAAAATTATTTTCTCTGGTAATCAACATTATACCGAAAATAATATTCTGTTCTTTTGAAGTACATTTCCTTAAGTCTTAAATCGCAAAATGCAAAGTAATAGTTTTTATTGATAATAATAACTGGATGGCACTCACATGGAACATAATGTGGTCATGATGTGTGACAACAATGTGGCATACTACTTTTTAAAATGTTTATTGTTTAATAATGCCAACTGTTTAATAATGCCAACAGTAGCCTACTATTAGTGTAAGCTAGTATTTTGTTCCAAACATACTTTTTCTCTCTTTAAGCAGGATCTTGTGGTCTGTTTCTTGCATCTACAGCAACTGTACTAACCAGGGTGTGTTGTCCTCCTCCAGACTCTGTTTAGGAGAAGCAGCCACCCGTTAGTCCAATGAATAACCGGAAGGAAGACATGGAGATCACGTCGCACTACCGGCAGCTCCTGCGGGAGCTGAACGAGCAGCGGCAGCATGGCATCCTGTGCGACGTGTGTTTGATCGTGGAGGGCAAGATCTTCAAGGCGCACAAGAACGTGTTGCTGGGCAGCAGCCGCTACTTCAAGACACTTTACTGCCAGGTAAAGAAGAGCTCAGAGCAGCAGGCCACCATCACGCACCTGGACATCGTCACAGCCCAAGGCTTCAAAACCATCCTTGACTTCATGTACTCCGCCCACTTGGCACTCACTAGCAAGAATGTGATTGAAGTGATGTCGGCTGCCAGCTATCTGCAGATGACCGACATAGTGCAGGCGTGTCACGGCTTCATCAAGGCAGCGTTAGACATCAGCATTCGCTCCGAGCTTGCAGACGAACTTGCGGATATTGAGATGGGCAATGTGGTGAGCTCTATGGGAGGCGGGGCTGGGCCTGGTGTGGGTGGAGCTTCGGAGGCACTGGCGTCCATGATCTCGGCCCGCAGTTCCTCGCCGTGGTTGGCCAGACGCACCAGCCCGGCAAATTCATCTGGAGACTCAGCCATCGCTAGCTGCCACGAAGGCAGTAGCAACTATGGAAAAGAGGACCAGGAACCCAAAAGCCATGAGAGCCAGGAGGATGCTTGTTTGCAGCCTTTGTGGCCTGCTGATTACCGTTCTGTCCAGGTCAAAGAGGAGCAGGTCTCCCCCTCCAATCTGCAAGATGGGGCTGGCCGAGGGGCACAAGGTATGCCTGGAGAGCAAGGTGGAAGAGGAGAGGGGGGCTGGCAACCCCCAGGCTCGGGCCGCAGGAAAAACCGCAAGAACAAGGACACAGTCAGGCACATAACCCAACAGAATGAAGGGGACAGTCGGACGGCATCGCCGCTACCATCCATGGTCTCCAATCCTGGCTGGAGCTACAGCAACCAGGACATTCCAGGTAGGATTACTATATTGGTTGCTTTATTGCTTGCTTTATAGTGTCATCATATCACATTATGCAACTGGGAAACATTTTGCAACATCATTGAGCCGACTGTTGACCTTTCATCAGAGGATGTTTGGTCTTGCAGAACAGAATGAATATGCGTACTTCCCTGCTATATAGTACAAAAATGGGCAACTCCGGATATGAAGGGCCACTCAAATCAAGCACACTTAATTTACTAGTAACCCTGAAGACTTTGGTTAGAAATTTCAGCTATGTATGATTTGGGATGGAGCTAAACTCTGCAGGACAGTGGCCCTCCATAACCGGAGTCCCAAGGACTGGAGTTGCCCGTCCCTGATACAGTAGGTGAAAAGTACATGAAATAGGTTGTATCTCCGAATCCTGGTATTCATGAAACTGTAGGAGAAAAGTACCCAGATGACCTATTACTTCCGGCGAGATTCTAAAGTACACATCCAATGGACACTTTACTATCCCATGAGGCTACAGGAGAGGGGTTGTGAATGGCAGTGAAGCAAGACAGCTGACGGCGTAGGTGGTGGATGTAGTATGTCCGGATTACATTCATACTATGTGGACTATACTTTTTAACAGTGACAAAGTTTCTCTTTGTAGTACCTAGACGGTATACAATTTCGGACGCACCTTTAGCACCTACTTAGCAAGCACTGCCTCGTGGATCCCGTGAGAGTGAACTCTTCTGGAATACTTTGCCACCATGTTTGATTGTATAATTCAAATCCAGATAGAAATAGAACTCTGATGAAGATGACAATTATTGTTGTAACACTGATAGTATAGCAGCATGACAAACTACAGATTGAGGTGGGGAATTTGGGGTTGAAAAATCTAATTTCCTCATTAATATCGGAAAGACACATGGGACGCAAGGCAGCCTCATCAACCTAAAAACAAAATCCATGCTGAGGAACAGATCACGCTAGCAAGCGGGGATGAGGCCCTACCTGTCTCGGATACTGTTGCTTATAGGTATGTAGATCATTAAAAGTGTGGCAGCTCTAATCTCTAGTGTATTTGTGCAGCCCGACTGTGAAATGGGCACACACACACTTTAAGAAAACAGGATAATTGAATTGACCTTGGTGGCGGTATGAGGATTAAATTGTATGTGTGTGTGCAAGTGTGTTGGGATGGGGGGTGCCCCAAGGTCTTCTGAAGTGTGGAAAAGAAGGGATAAAGTGAAGGAGAGAGGGAGGGGAATACGCGGAGATCTGCATCAGCTTAGCGAGAGTTTACCTACTTAACTCTCGAGGCACTGTCTCATCCTCTCTGTTTGCCAGCCCTGCTACCTGCATCTCCAACAGAAATAACTGCACTCGCTGACCCAACCCCACAGATGAAATATCAAGTGCAAGACTCCACACATCTAAATACATACCGGCTCACTGTACTGCGTACACACATGCTTACAAAAGTCACGCCCGTTCCTTTGTGTGCAACAGAAATAGTGCACATTTGCATTCCTCATGCACTGGCCCTTATAAGCCAAGCTAATGTGCTAGTCAAGCTTTTGAGGTCAATTTAATTACGTTCTAAATGGAATCGAAACATTTTCAAATCTAAAATCATCCCTATTAACCGTGTGTAAAACTCTGCTAAGGAGCCAAGGATTTGCAAAACGGTCAATTGCTTTGGATGACATTTGATAATATGGGCCGTATCTCAATGCTCAGTGAAGATGAGAATATTGCTTGGTACACAAAACAGGCTCAGGCTTGGACGAGTCAGATCAGGGTGAGAAAAAGAGGACATGTTATGAAAGCCCTCATGTCCTGCTCTGGGTTTTGGACTCAGCTGTAATTTTCCTACTGAATTGGTGGATTCTTGAGGTGTTTAGACAGACAGGTTTGTCCAAAACCTATGAGAGTGGCTGCAGTGGCCAGGATGCTTTGTTTATTTAAATCTAACAGGATAAACAATGCTTATTTATTTTTGTGTATTTTATCATCCACCTGTTATATGTAACATGAGCATGTTTAAGTCTCATTAGCCGCTTTTCCACTGTCGGGCCAGTGCGAGCCAGTGCTTTAAACGGGCCGGGCTAATAGCCTCGAACCTGTAGCACTGAGGCCAAAATCATGCTGCATTTCCACCGTCGGGCCAGAAGCTCCGCTGCGCTTTACTAAAACCCGCCCTTTACACGCCTCTATAAATATTTCTGCCTTGTATGGTGATCATAATACACATCGGATCAAGCTATTTCAAACACTCGCTGCTGTCTAAAAGTGAGTTTAGAACTAAAATTATTTTAAAAGTCTTTAATGCTGGTGTTATATGTTAACTTTATGAAATGATCCGCGGCGCTGACGCTCTCCAGACTGCAGAGAAACTCCGCCTTTGTTCATAACCACTCCTTTAGCCCTAGCTGGCCCGCTTTGGCCCAAGGTTTTCATCGGGCCAAAAAACCCGGGCCGTTGGCCCTGAGGAAGCACCGACCAGGCACCATCAAGCCCCAGAAGTGACAGTGGAAACCCGACTGGCCCTGGCACGCACTAGCACACCCACTTTTGGCCCGACAGTGGAAACGCGGCTATTAAGAGAGCATGAATAGAAGCTTCAGAGCTTTAGTAATTAGTAGGACTCTCTAAATGCCCTCATAAGTGATTTCTGCTTCCATGCAGTCCATGTCCATGTTGAGGTCCAGTCACCAGGTAGAGTTGTCTCAGATTTGGTTAAAGGGTACAGAAAGTGTCTAGTTGCAGGTCTAATGATTTGCATGGTTAAGGGTGCTGCTTGCTGACAGCACTAAATGGGATCTCAGGATGCTGATGTCCAAGTTGCATTGTGCACAGACTAATGGTTTTAAGAAGCTTGTAATTGGTGGTTGGCATGTTTATAGAACTGTATATCTAAATTACCATGCTTCTGGTATGGATTTCTGGCTAGGAGCAGGATATTTCTCAACCTGCACTTTGTAAAGTGTGTGTGTGTGTGTGTGTGTGAGAGAGAGAGAGAGAGAAAGAGGATATGGTTTTTAACATGATTAGGCAGCCAAGACCAAAAAGACAGTCAGACTATTGTTTAAAGCTTCTAGCTGTTTCTCTCATCTGCTAAAATATTATCCTAATCGCCTTATTGATACTGTTTTCTGCATGAATGTTGTAAGATAAGAGTCAGATCATGCTATAGGGACTCTTTTGCATAGTTATTCTTTGCACATGTCCTTAAGTTTCACTGCACCTTTGTTCAGGCGTCTGTTGAATGGACATTCTCTTTCAGAGCGTCTTACTCACCGCTGGCAAACATGAGGCATCAAGCCATCACAGTTCTAGAGAGGGGATGTGAGGTCACATTGGATGTTTAGCAGATGTTTGCAGGTGTTGAAACTGGATGCAGAATATGTAGGTGTTATAATGGGCATATGTCTTGGAATGCAGATTCCCAAACTTTCAGGAAACATCACAATATTACAATCAATATGGTTTCAAACATTTTGTTTGTTGCATTCTGCTAAGTTTAAATGAGATCTACACTTCTACAGGTTAGACCAGGATATGCTAGGTGATTCTTTTTAGATAACATTAACATCCATATGGGGCAGTTTTGATTTATTCATCCAAATTTTGCCAAATTTATATATGGACAGACCCTGAAGATTATACGGAATGAGTCTATTTCATATGTACACTTCAGGCCACTCCATAAACCACAATGCAACGCGTTTGTGACATCACAGCAGATCACTTTTAATTTACCCCCACCCCAACAACTCTATGACATTTGCATACATTTTTTAAAATATATAAAGTAGCCCAGTCATACCTATATATGTATATAATGCTTCACCAAACAAATTCATAAGGCAAAAATGTAAATAATATATCAAGTCCATAGCAGATTCCAAGTGATCAAGGGCTTAGGACATTCCAATTCAGCCGATTTCCGCCAGTAGTGGGCACTTGTCTTGTGCAGCGTAATTAATGACGTACATCCGAATCAATGAGATGGAGGGAAGTTAGCGAGAGAAGGACATAAAAATGAAGTGGAACGCAGCCAGACATGCCGATGTTTAGCCAGCACAGGAACAAGGGTGCAGTAGAGTTACCCTAAAATGTCTATGGCATTAAAATGGATGTTTTATTTATATAGCTAGCAAGTTAGTTTAGCTAATACAACAGCAAAATTCCCTTCAAACTATTTCTCAGACAGTAGTTGAGTCGAAAAATAAAACTGACCATAGAAGAGTTTACGCTCATATCTGCTAATAGTGCCATATTGTGGGAACACTGAAAATGCGACATGCTTGTATTGTCTTACATTTAATTATAGTATGGGATAGTTGGTTAATAATAAAGATATATGTCTCTGATCTGTTTCGTTTTTCTTGTCTGTTTCATTGTAAAAACAAGCCTGAAGGCATATAGTTACATGCTTGGTTATCAGCAGCATTAAATAAAGACCGGAACATGTGAAAAGTTAAAGTGCCCCTATTATGCCTTTTCGAATATTACCTTTCATGCAGTGTGTCATGTAGCTGTATGTGAACATAAACTATCTGCAAAGTTGTGAAGCCGACAGTGCACGATAAATAAAGTTATTGTCTATCAAAAAAGAGTAAGCTCGCAATCGCCTAAACGAGTCGTCAGGAATTCTAATCTTATTCTGTTACGGCTCTATGTCACGAAGTAACACATTTGCATAATGTCTGCCCACGTTCTACTTCGCCAACTTGCCCGCCCACAAACAGTACAATTTCCGTGTGGTTAACATCATGTCAAGAAGACGCTGTATCCTACGCCGTGAGAGTAAATTTGTTTTATCACATCTTATAATTACCACAAACTTGTTAACACTTGACATTTACCACTGAGAAACGTCCTGCTCCAGTCGTGCTTGCGAATCAGTCTCTTGTCGATCAGCCAGTTCAACCGTTTCATCATCAGACTCCAGCTCGAATTGGTAAGGTACAATCGATACCATC